GGCAGAAAAGCTATATTCTCGTATTAGGAAAGAAAGAAATGTTTCTCTTTCCATGTTAAAAGCTTTATTTTTCATATTTCCAAAGTTCATGCAGATTTTTTTTATTCCGGAGACTTATTGTTATTTCTATGTAGAATGGAATCTTTAAGTTACAGTGTAAAGAATCCAACTTAATAGTGAGCGGTTAAATTGTACCGATTCTTCCGATCCCCTTTCAGTTTTTTTCACTTTTCTCTCCAGCTTCGCATAACGTCCGTGATTCATATCAGGTTTAATTTTAGTGAGCAGTGATTCATAAAAATGTTATGATTCAGTTCAGTGAACTAAGACTCACATCTGATCTCATAAAACAGAGGTTTTGCTTTCCTCTGATGTGGCCAACAGAAAGAGAGACTCAAGGAAAACAAAAGTCTTAAAACAACAACAGAAGCAGCAAAAAAAAGGTGTTGTAAGAATAAGCAGAGACCTATGAACAACAACACTGAAAAGAAGCTGAATTAATAAAAGAATAAATAATAAAAGAAAGGAAAAAGGTCTGATATGGAAGGTAATAAAGGAAGCTTCGATGCAAGTGTAGGAGAATGCGATATACAAGAGTATGACTTTTCCTTTATTATCTTGATATATCATTAAAAAAAAGCCATATTTTGTTGAAAGATACGAATTTTGAAATTTTCCTATTAATAATTTTGCTTTGCATTAAAATATAAGATATTTATAATATTCTGAATTCATGTCGCAACTTTGATATGGACAAAGTGATTTATTCGTTATGTTATAACGTCATAACAATATTTCTGAAAATTTCAAAGCAAATCTTCAATTCAAAGGTCCAAACGGGATTTATTCTTATAAAATTTACATCTAAAACCTTCTGAGCGGGGCGGGTTTTAGGTTCTCTGATGAAGACTTGTATTTATATAAAATTTATATGCTAAGTTAGTCAATTTGCTTATTTTAGCCTGTATTTTCATAAATTTACATTCATAAAAATGGCATTTTCTTTATTTAAGAAAGCAAAATACCTTAAATCATAAGCTAATATATACTAAGTGACAAAAAATCTCATGAACGGTTAAAGCCAGTCATTTCACTTAGGGCTAATTTTAATTATAAATTATACCGTATTTTGTTAAAAACTAAAATAATGAGTATACTAGAACAAATATCTAAGTAATTGATTAAAAAGAATTAAGTAAACGTGAATTTATTTTTTTTGAACTAATGAACCGCTTGTCTGGTACTTGTTTAGACAAATGATTTATAACATTCCCCGTCACCAACACTAGCGGAGCTGCACTTTTAACCTTACCTAAATTAAAAGAAACAAGTGCTGTTTGTGGTCAAATGATTTAAACTGGATTTTCTTTAACCGGATAAAACTGAAGCTCTACGAGAAAGCATTTATCAACATTTAATAAGAAAAGAATCTTTTATCGACGAGCATTATTAGATTAGTTCCACTTTAAAGAGTGAAACTAATGAAAAGTATAATAGTTCCTGTCCTTTAAAGTGGAACTGTAAATATGTACAACAAACGTATACGGCGTATTTGAACAATTATTCTAATAATTTAAGCGCAAAAGGCGAAATTAAATGTGGTTGTAGACTTACTAATTGATTATTGGATGTCCACCGAAAATGTTGCAGCAAAAACAAACATCGCGGATAAATATCATTGTAAAAAATACCGTGGGAGAAATTAAAGCAAGGAGAAAGCATTGCAGTTCTCAATCGTGGTAGTTCGTAGTTTTCAAATATCGTCGCAACAAGTATTATGGTTAAAAAAAAAAAGCACCTAAAATTACGTGGTAAATTATCATGGTAAAAAAATAAAGCAACTACAAATCTTCGCACGTTGATAACAGCGCAGACGTGTTTTCAGGCTTTAGAAGTTTCAGGTTCTAATGCATGTTTTTTGGCACGACACTCTCTTCTTTTTTCGTTATTCCATTCGCGACATTTTCTTACGCGACGCTTTTACATATAAGCGATTTACAAGATTTGAGAAATAGAAAGGATGTCTTTATAGAAGACTTTCTAAAAAGAATTTCCTCGTATTATCTCACTTGAGGAAAACAACCATTTTGCCAGGAATCTATTTCATGTCTAATTAGCAGTATTCAAAAGTGATATCAGCTCAGCGACTGGCGAAGGTAAAATAACATTCAGCATTGTTTTTTTAGAGATGTTCAATTGATTTATGACTGAAGCCAGCTAATCTGTGACTGAGTCTCGATTAATTGCATTTCTTGTGACTGAAGGTATGCCACCGACGTTTCGCATAATAAAATCACGTTCAAAGCTCAGTACTAGTTCTGGATTACTGATTCATTGAATAAAATCAAAACTGAACGAATAAGTGAATAAAAAATAAATAAAATAAAGTCTTTAAACCATTTTGCGAGAATTCTTTCGTGTTGAAATGCTTAATTTTCTCCCCCATCAGTGGTTTAGTAAATTCCGGCTGCTACTTTTATTTCTCTGTGTGTAAGTAATGTTATATACTGAAACGTTTCTTACATAAATTTGTTATTAGAAGCCAGCTACTTAAGGTTTTGTTGATAACAGGTATAATCAACAGGTAAAGAACTTATTATAAGAAAGCATAAAATGATTAAGTATCCAAGAAATGGTTTCTTCAATACTGTATTTACGTGACGTATTATATACATACAAACGTGAAACCTACAGAAATGAACATGAACGATTCTCTTTATGTATCGAAAATGAAAAGTTAGAAGCAGCTATTTGTGTTGAGTAGTTTTTCCTCTCCAGTGTATTCTAATGAACCGCAGAAAAAATTATATGAGCAAAATGTAAGCCTTAATCCTCCTTTCCATAAACGTGAAGCATTCAAAAACAAAAGCTATCAACAAAAGTAATCAGAAGCAAAATCTTTACCTTTGGCGTCCTCCTAAGTACAGAGATAATAAATTGTACTTTTCTAATTTGAAGAAAATAAAGATATCAAGTTGGATCAAATAAATAAACATATCCTTGACTTCTAAAAATAACTCTAAACCTTTTATACGTACTCAGTTATGTATAGTACTCGAATCGTTCGTTCTTAGCTGCTCCAAAACGTAACTATTCAAAGTGCTTTTTATGGGGAGGGTTGTTCTCTGCTAGTTGGGACTGTTAGAGATGGAGAATAAACATAATTTAACAAACTTTCAGATATTAGAGGATGTTGATAGTCTATCCAAAACCCAAAAACGCGAGTTTGCTGTCCTCAGAAGATCTGGTGGTTCGTAAAATATTTTTTGTGTTCATGCATGTGCAACACTAGAACTCTTAGCGAATGCTTTAGAAAGTATCATTGACATCAAAGTATTCAAATTTGTAATTTTTTAAACTAAGTGTATACCTGTGCAACCTTTCGTAATGCCTTGTTCATTTACGGAGCATAAAATGTAGACACTACTGGAAGATGAGATAGCGAATGCTCGCTATGTCTTGAAAAACAGATGGCTACCGAAGAAGGTTATAATAACCTTTTCATTTTAATTAAATTGAACAGAACATGTACACACTCGGTGTTCACAAACTAACCACCATTTGTGGCTAAGTGACTTAAACACAAAATGGTATGTGTTTAAGCCGCAACTGCCTTCTAATTCAATCTAAATCAGATTTATTGGCTGCGCAGAGCAAAGCCGTGTATAAAATATCAAATAACCTAAAACAATAAGTGGCTAGCACAAATAGTTCACCCATACGACAAAAATATAAGGGTTAGGAGATGAATAAAATCTTTTGCATTACCTTAGCGTGATATGAAAATCATGCAAGTAACATGCGTAGGCATCATTTTAAACGTTTCAAATAAACCTTGGAAACATTTTTAGGTGTTAAATCCTAAGTTTTCTGGAACCTATTATTTTGATGATTCTTTTGCTTCATTAGTACATAACTACAAGAAGCAATAACTATGGTCACCTTGGTCTAGAAATGCAGCTTTATAATGTAAATTTTGATATGCTAAAGCTGAATTATTAACAGTGGTGCACCAATAATTAATACTGGTATTACATTAGCACGTCCAATAGCTGACAGTATCATTACAAATGTTCAATTAGTTTCCTCCTCATATTACCATATATCCAGTTTACAATACCATCTGCTTTGTAACCATAGAATATTCTATGAATTGCTATAGATTAAACAAAATTGATACCTAATTCTTTTGTTAAACTCTAAGTTCTGTTGTAAAAACTAAAGTTCGAAAATATGATTTTATGACTCATTGTTTAAATGTAAAAAGCTAATCCGATAATGAACTTATTTTGAACACTTTTTGTACTTTAGCATTACATCATAGCATTATTGCACAACAAGGCGAGAAAAGTTCAGATTCATATTCCATTAACCAGCGCCTGTAGATCAGTATTTGTTCTGCACTGACAGTTCTAAAAAGAATACGATACTCTGATTGTGTTCCTTTGCCAAATATTTACTGTAGATAAAAAAACGTTACTGAGAGAGTAAATAATTGTCTCAAAGATAACAATGCGGAATTAATTCAGCCTGAAGTTATTTGTATAATAAAAAACATATCAAACACTAACGCATGAGAATTCAAAATTGTAGTAAAACATTATTTGAAAAATAGTTTTCATACCAGAAGGAAATGATAGGGCAATACAAATACATGTTGGGTATTTATTTAAACGATTAACATCTTATGTAGCAATTGAAAGGACAATAATCCATCAGGGATTTAAAACTTTCTGATGATAAAAAGAAATCTGACAATTTTTCCATCAATATGGCTGAATTAAAAGTTCATTAATAAGGTTTCAACGATTTCTCTTTTTCAATATAGACGCAGAAAGAACATTTCAGGCTTGGCAACCTTTATTAAGAGGAAATTAATTATCTAATTCAATAGTGATTAAATGCAACTTTGAAGTATTCCAATAAAAATGCAATTTTTAATTTAAAATTGTTATTACTTTTATTTAGCCGAAAATATTATAAAGATCTTTAACTTTCAGGCCTAGGAAAGAGGAAAAATCAACTGTACCTTCACCGGTATTCCAGCCTCAGATGCTTCCACCAGTGGCCGAGGATTCAAGACCGCTGAATACTGGTAGTTCGATCCTAGAAGGATGAGTTGGCTACATGGCTGGTTTTTTTGATTTTCATCACGTTTAACGTAAATGAAACCTAGTTGCCCCTAGACAATCTTTTTCGAAGGCATCTATGCTCTTAGGTAAATATGTCACGTGGCTTTATGATAGTCACGTAATCTAAAACCTAACCGAGCTTCAAATTTTACAGCTTGTATTTTAAGCATTTACATCAAACGCGCACTCGGGGGAATGCTAAAATTCGTTATATTCTGCTCTACTTAAACGGCGAATCAGCAGAGGATTTGCATCATCTTTTAAAAATGGAAAATGGAGATAGATTGACGAATTAATTAACTAAACTCTTACCAGGATCATTGGACATGATCCACATGATTGAACGTGCTTACAACTTTCACATCGACAGCTCACACGCATGGTGCTATTATAACGTTTCTAAACTGTGGTTTTCAAAGTATGGGTCGTTACCGCCTATGCAGGCGTGAGCAAAAGCCGGCACGTGGGCGGAATGCACCTCTTCTAATTGTTTAATACTACTTATTACGAAATCCTGTGTAACAACATTTTGATCTCTTTCCCAACCGAAATCAGCAACACGAGTGTGCATGTATTCTATTTATGCGCATATACTCGCATTTCCTTTTGGTCCCACTAGGCAAAAAGAGAATGAAGGTGCAAAAAGATTTACTTCACTATTCTGCTAATTTTAAAACATAAACAAATATGTGGCTGTTAGGTAAAAAACTAGGCTTAGCTGCACTAAAACAACTTTTAAATTGTTGATAATTCTACAATTATTGCATGCTGCTTAATTAAAAGCATAAAATCTTCAACCGCAAGATACGAATAATATAATTTAATTATTTTTAGACAAAAAATATACCTTTTATCAACATATAAGAATAAAGAAACTGAGCTTACTGAGCCGAGTAACAGAGCATATATATTATATATATATATATATATATAATTGAAAAAGAAATTGTAAAGCTAACTAGTAATTAGACGTAAGACCTATTTGGTCTTAAAAATTTTTGCGCATAATGCTGCAAAATGATATGAAATAATAGTAGTAGGTAGAAACATTGCACCGATCTTGCTAAAAAGTTACCAGGAGCTGTAGCTCCACGAAATATTTCAATGCTGTATTACTAAAATATAAACTAAGAAGAAATTTTTGTCTGGAAAAACCTGAAAAAATTGTAAACTCCCGAAAAAGACTGCCAAAATTAATGTTGGAAGACATGCTGATGCATGAAAAAATTAATCTGACCGTTGTGATATGTGAAAAGTTAACTTACATAAAAAATAGATTGACGGAAAAAAATATATATATATATGAAAAGTTAAAACATATAAAAAATATATGGACTGAAAAATTGCTAATACATAAAATGCAAAAATTAAAATGAAAACATAGTTTGCCACAATACAAAAATAAAATAATTACATAGCGGAAAATGGTAAATTAACCCACTCGTACCCTCAATTGGCCTTTCAAGGGAAAAAAACTGAGTGTCGAACTAGGCTAAGTACCATTACGCGTTTCGCCGAAACAGACCTTTGAAGCTCTTGTTTAATGCGAAAAAAATTTTTTTATAAAAAACAAGAATATTCCCGAATAAATCTTTTTTGGAGTTTCACTGCTCTGTTCCTTTTTCCCGACGCGTCCGCCGAAAAACACATTGGTGTGTTAAAAGTAATTGCAACTCCGAGCAATGTAAAATTAAAATTAAAATAAAATAAATAGCGGTCTGCTATTAGTCAAAAAATTACAACAACGTACGGGCTGGTCCTGTGCAGCCTATTGCAATCAAAATAGAAGGTCCACGACTAGATGTTATAGCTGTCCTATGTACAAAATTTCAAAGTTCTGAGACAACTCGTTTTTGAGTTATGCGAGATACATACTTTTGCGTGTGTATGGGTTCGTAATAGATTGAATGCACAAGTCCGATAAAAGGTTAATAAAATTTATTATTATCGCAGGAAATACAACATAACGCTTGAAGTTTTCTCTCAGATATTCGTACAATATCATTATATCACGCAATGTATTGAGTAGCTATATTTTAAACTACTAAAAACGTTAAAAAGAACGCAATACAAACACAAAGCTAATCCGATCTCTCGCTGCACTCTAAAGAATAACAACAGCAGCTAACAAAACAACTACAGATCTGAGAGGAGGGAATTACGATTACAGCTAACACAATAGTCAATTATATTTATTCAGTTTCAATACAAATAAAAGGGATATCCATTTATTCAATGTTAAATGTACGTGCTCGTATGTTTTTGCTTTTTCGGCGTAGCTTTCTCTTAAAATCTCGCAATTCCATGGGGAAATGAAACAATTTTAATTACAATTTTACCAAACAATAGCTAACTAAATGTAGAATTCATAACACTGCCCCCTTCCCAAGGACTGCGCGTAACGGGCAGTCCTTGGAACATAGTAGACAGGAAGCAAAACTTATAACTAAGGCATCAATGCAATAATATATATTACATTACAATAGCAAACAACATAAATAATAATTGCAATAAGTAACTTAAAACAAATCAAATCATAGCAAACAACATAAATAATAATTGCAATAAGTAACTTAAAACAAATCAAATCAAATGCAAATTTAGAAACAAAAAAGCCCATGGTCTTATATTATTTACAATTATATACTCTACGTACTACGGGCATAATAAGGAGCTAACTTATCGTTATGAATGACTTTAGGTTTAGAGTTCGATGATCTATGGATCCGAACCACGACGTCGTTCAACCTGTTTAGGAGTGTGTACGGTTCATATTAAGATGTCCTGTAGCTCTGGTGTCGTTATTCCTCTGTCGCCAAGTTGACTCGCTCTCGTGCAAAATTTTTCATATCTTCAAAGCGGGCCTGTAGATCGTGGGTGTATTCCTCAGGCGATGAAGGCGCATCCGGAGGGCGAGCACACAAGTGATCATAAGGCAGACGAAGGTCATGACCGAAGAGCATTTGAGATGAGGAACAGCCGGTTATTTCATGGACAGCACTGCAGCAAGCGAGTAAAAACAGTGGTAACTTCTTGTCCCAGTCCTGTTGGTTTCTGGAAAAAACCAATGAAAGATTATTCAGAATGGTTTGACTAAGCCTCTCTACCATGCCGTCCGACTAAGGATGTAAAGGTGTCTTTTGGGTGTTGTCAATACCAAGTAGCTTTCAGAGTTCTTTAATTACGGCCAATGCAAAATTTCTTTCTTCATCGGAATGTAACTGAAGAGGCACACCGAACCTAGAAATCCAGTGCTGTATCATTATTTCTGCTAGTGTGACAACTTCTTGATTAGGAATAGGATACACATCAGGCCACTTGGTGGAGTAATCTATATGACAACGAGGATGTATTTGTTGCCATCAGCAGTTGGCGGCGGAGGTCCCAGAATGTCAAAGGCGACACGTCCTGCAAGATCGTCATCATTCCGAAGTGGCTTCTTGTAGGACTGTTATGTAGTTCTTCAAGCACGTCCTGGATCTTGGAAGTATCAGCTGCCATTTCTTTCCATCATCCGATTCGAATTTCTGGTACAAGACGCCTTTTTGAATACGGAGGGAGTTTCAAAGTTCCCAATATTGTTTTTTGTTGTTGGACTATAGATCAAAATGTCCTGCCAGGTACGTTTTCTGTTTGAGGACTCAATTAAATTAATTATAGGTTCAATGTCGCAGTCTCTCAGCTGGTCTTTCCTGACTTGTTTGTCACTCAATGGGTCTCGATCAGCCGATGTTGTTCTAATTTGTCGTGTGGCCGGACTCAGCATCTCGTATTTATCCTTCACCCTAGTATGATAGCGACAGCTTTCTGAGAAGGGTCTTCCGGAAAAGGCGTCGGCGTTTCCAGGTGAGGATCCTTTCTGATGATGGATAGTTACGTCCTCAGATGCTGAAAACATTTTCTTATTTATGAAGTCGAAGGAAAATTGTATTTAATTAAACGGCCAATCCGAGTATTCAAGGATCAGTAATATCGGCCACATATGCCGTGCAATAGTAGGCGGCACTTCCAAATGTGATGCCGACGTTTAGCTTCCTATCAGTTGTGGTGTTATCTCTAGACGCAATCTGAAGGGTAACGTAGGATGGCATCCAGTTGAGTTTATCATTAAATTGTTGAGCTAAATCTTTCCGAATGATGGTAACATTCGCTCCTGTATTGATCAACATATTGAAAGGAGTTCCAGTGATATGTCCTACGATGAAGAGTCCATTATTGCCGCCACTGACTGCGGAAATCTGAAGCGCTTTGAAATGAGGCTTCTTATTTTTCTTCAAATTCTTCTTTGCGATATGGCCATTAATTTGTTCCTTTCGTTCGCAGCGGGGAAATGGTCTTATTTTTCGTACCCTGTAGTATTCTGCAGTTCATCCGTACGTGGCCTTCACCACTGCAGTCGCAACTTTTTAGCGATATTTTCTTGTCACTCCTATGCCATATCAAGTCATTAAGTTGCCTGTTGAAATCGTCGGTCTTATTTTTCGTGCCCTGAGAAGTTCTGCAGTTCCTTCGTACGTGGCCTTTAGCGCCACAGTTCTAGCACTTTAGTGTCAGTTTCTTCTCAATTCTTAATTCAGCACTTTAGTGTAATAAATTGTTTGCTGGGCTCCCTCGAATTTCATGGTATACACCAGAGAGCTTCTTATGTCCTTGACATCCGCCATTCGCATATTTCAGGATTCTGAATGCCGTCGATGAAGTACTGCAACGACAGAATTATGCCGTCGATGAAGTAATGCAACGAGAGAATTTCTCTTGTTTCTGTCGGGCATTCTGAAACTACGAGATGAGACTGCATTTTGACATCCGTAGCTGGTTCCTGGAGTGTATCCGTGGACTTCTGGTGACGGGATTTTAATTGAAGCCTGCTGTAATATTTTAAGCACTTCTCGCGCCAAAGCGCCTCCGCACCGGATAGGGCTTCGAAGTCCAGTCTGTAGTCTAGTCCGAGATAAGGTTATTAAAATTTATTCTTATCACAAGAAATGTAACAGAATGCTGGATTTTACCTCAAGAATATTCGCACAATATCACGCAAACTACTTAAGCTACTAAAAACGTTAAAATACAACGGAGTGCAAAGAGA